CCAGACCATAAGTAGTTTTTAATCCTCCCCCCACCCACCTTTGCTTTGTACTCAAGTCTGGAGTAACCATTTTCTCCCATGTTTTTTCTCCTTCTTTCCATTCTTGGCTCACCAGGATGTATAGTTGCCAGCTGTTTGTTAAGATTCCCTTTTGTTCACTCTCTCCCCTCCTCTCTAATATTTCATGACATTTGCTGCCTGAAACTTTGGCTCTCAACAAGAATTTAATCCAACAAAACAAAAACACAGCAACCCACCAGCTTCTTGGACAGCTCTTAATGTGCAAACATATAAAGGAAGAATGGGTTTATATATAAAAAAAGGGGTCCAGTGGCCTCCAGGAGACTCAAAGAGACCTACATGCAAAGCAAGCAAGAGGGTTATATTCCTCATGCCAGATTAAATTCCATCTGTTTGTAGAGTGGGTTGGAAACATGGGTGGCCCAAGCATAGGGCTACTACATGTATCTTTATACAGGAAGTTTAAGGAGGAACGGACTTTGCAACAATCCTTACATTTACGGATCAGTGAATCCATCAATTCTGGTTTACTCAGTTTCTCACATTCCAACCGCAAGTCCAGTTTGCCTCATTTCCATATTAACTTGCAATTCCTTTTATATTTTTGTAGAAGTCCACACAAAACTTTGGCTGTTTCTCCTCATATATGCAAACAACCCCCCCCCCATTAATACAGCAATCCATCAAGTGCTTATTACAGTGGATCAAACAATATACAAAATATAAAATGCAAAATCAGAGTCTCTGTAGGGCCAATGATTATTTATTACTACTGACAAGCTAGGAACTAACAATTCTAAGTCTGAGAGATGTGGCAACATCTAGATATTTGCCATTATAAGAGAATAAGTGAGTTCCGGCACCTCGTTTTCTAGAAAAATAGCACTGAATAGAACATATCCATTATAGTAAAAGCAGTCCTCAATAACCCTCTCTTCCATGAATTTGTCTACTCTTCTTCTAAAATCACCCAGGTTGGTGGCCAGCACTATATGCTGTGGGACTGAGTTGAATAGTTTAACTATAGGCTATGAGATTAAGTACCTCATGTTGTTTAGGATCATCCAAGAAACCCCTTCATTAGATGGCAAATTGTGCAATACGTTCTTTTCAGCACCTGAAGACATTCTTATTTAGACAAGCCTGCCCATAAGTTTCCAAGTTTGTATGAGTTTTATTTTGTTTTTAGTCCGTTCTATTGCGGTATAAACTTTCTGTATGTTTTAAATTACCATATGCTTGCAAAATTATTGGGGTGGGGTTGTTGTTGCCTTTATCAGTATTAATTCTGTACCTTTATTGCAGATTTTCTTATGATTTATGTGGAAATACTTTAATTTATTTAATTTGATGTTTTATTTATTGTTTATGACCACTTCTGTTTTGTTTGTAATTATGTATTTTTCCATGTTGTTGACTGCCTTGTGCATGGTTTGAACTATGGAAAGGTGACATGAAATTAAGTATGCAGGCATACTTGTACTTTTTATGTACTTTTTAATTTTAATGGGGGGTTTTTTTGTAAACCATTTTGAGCATTTTTTCTACAATTAAGTGGTGTATAAATTTTCTCCAAGGGATGCGGGTGGCGCTGTGGGTTAAACCACAGAGCCTAGGACTTGCCAATCAGAAGGTTGGCGGTTTGAATCCCTGCGAAGGGGTGAGCTCCCGTTGCTCAGTCCCTGCTCCTGCCAACCTAGCAGTTTGAAAGCACGTCAAAGTGCAAGTAGATAAATAGGTACCGCTCCGGTGGGAAGGTAAACGGCATTTCCGTGCGCTGTTCTGGTTCGCCAGAAGCGGCTTAGTCATGCTGGCCACATGACCCAGAAGTTATACGCTGGCTCCCTCGGCCAGGAAAGCGAGATGAGCGCCGCAACCCCAGAGTCGGCCACGACTGGACCTAATGGTCAGGGGTCCCTTTACCTTTACTTAAATTTTCTCCAAGGTTTGCCATGTCAAAATGTTGTAGTGACAGTAAAAGCCACATCTGAGAGGACTTACAAGTACTTAACGGATCCACCAGTAATGATGTAGACCACACTTCCAGATATTTTGGACTACAACTCCCATAAGTCCCAGACAGCATGACCAATGGCAAGGAGTGTTTACAACTGCCATTGAGCAACATCTGGAGAGCCGCAGGTTACCCCACCTTCCATACTACATAAATATGGGAGCACTGCATGCTAGGTGCACACAGGTGGCAGGAAATATGTCAATTTCAGTCTCCCTCAGCATCTTGTTTTTCCAACCTTAAGTTCCGTTCTCTACATTTCCACATCACTTTGAAATTAATTTATCTTTTAAAAAGTCCTCATGAAAAACCACCAGCATTTTAGTTTACATTTCTCCTACTGTACTGTTTGTGAGCAATTTTGCCTAATGCACAAACACACGCATAAGGAGCCACCCTATTCTTCTGACTGTAAATTTTTAGAACTGCTTTTAATCTTGCATTTTTATATTGCTGTAACATGCCCTGGGACCTTGTGGTAAAAGGTGGGCAAGGAATATTGTTACTCCTCTTTCAGTTCCTTCTTTGACGCACTTCTACAACCAGAGGATGTCACTATATCTTGTAGCAGTCAATGTAAAGTAGAGATGAGTTTCAAGAATTTGGAACACCATGATATCAGGAAATTAGTCAGTTCTAGCAAACATTATACAGCAGCAAGGCAGGAAGATTCTGTGAGCCTCGTGTTGCAATTGCCACATATGTGTTTACATCACGGTTAGTTTATCCCTAACAAACCTGTTTGCGGGGGTGGGGAATGCATCCACATTCATAACAAGAATAGTCATATTACTATTCTTGTTATTGCTATTACGATTATGATTACTGTAAGTCACATCACAGGGAAAATAAATCAACACCAGAGATTCCTTTTCAGATCATCTTTTTTGGAAGAGCAATCTGTTCCTAAAACTTATGAAGCACCTGTTGTTAATTTCTCTCCTGCCCTCTACGTGCAGAAATATTTTTTCAGTATATGAATTATCAGCATTCTTTGAGCTGGAACGGTTGCGATAAGCAACATATTTACAGTAATTGCAATAATGATCCCAGTTTAATTCATGCCACCATGCTGATGCATGACAAAAGAACAACAGAGAGCACTTGGGCATGAAATCGTGAACAAATACAAATACGAAAAGCTTGCAAAAGCATTAACGGAGATGAATTGAATGGATTGTAGCCAGCACACAAGAAACCCTTTTGTTAACTGCCTGTGAATTTCATGCCAGCTGATTTGTGTTTGCATCCCTAGTTACGGACAGTCAATTCTTTAACTAGAAAATAATTCTGTCTTGCACACAACATGCAAAAAAATCCGTTATCCATAATCCACACTCCATCCAACCAATACTAAACAAAGCCATGAGACAAAATGTTGATATATCAAAATCAAACGGGATTTCTTGCCCTGAAAAACTTTGATGGAAAAAACTTTGGCAGCAGAAATACAAGCACTGCAACAGACCTGCAAATAAGGCCCCCAGTCCTATGAGATGCTGAATTAAAGCAGAAGCTCAAAAGAATGGACATAGCAGACCTTGCCTTTCTTGTATACTGAATTTATTTGTCAATGTGTTAGTTGCCTTTCTAGTTACTGAATTATTGAAGTGATGTAAAACAATTTCAAAAACGCCACCCCAACGTTAAAAGCCAAGCGGTGGTGTCAAAATGAATTAGCTCACCCAAATTCCCAAAACCATCTTCTCCCAAAATCTATCAGAAATTTCCTGGGTACTTGGCTATACACTGGTGTCTGTATTTGGCATGCTATGGCAGAAGCGGTGGGAACCTTTTTCAGTTTGACAACCACACTGCCTCATGGGCAGCCTTCCAGAAACTGTGAGCCAGTGGGGTGGGGAGGAGAAGCAAAAGTGGGTGGGACAACAAATGCGACTCTTATTTATTTTTATTACAGCCATGCAAAAGTCAGAGCTTTATACATCCGCACACCTCTCTGTCCAGGCAAGCAAGAGGCACCACCAAAGTTCAAAGACACTTTTCAGCCTGGCAAAAGCACTCAGGAGCAGGAGAAGAAAGCAGTGGGCCTGGGAAATCTTGAGGGCCGGACAGAGAGACCTACAGGGCCACATTGTCCCCTGGACAATGCTTCATCCCCTCTCACATGTATCCTGCCTGTCCTTCAAGGAGCTCAAGGCAGCATATATGGTTCACCCCATCCCCATCTTATCTTCACAACAACCCTGTGAGGTAGGTGAGACTGAGAGTGTGGGAATTGGCCCAAGGCCACCTAGTGAGCTTTATTGGAATTTGAACCTGGACCTTCTCAGTCCACACTTCCGCTTATCCCATGCCTAGAAAGCATGGGTCCAAGCAGTTTCCCACTTGCCCCATACTTTGTAGGCATGGGTCTGAGAAGTTTTGGCTATGTCCCACTGCTTTGCCCTGGAAAACCTGCTCTGTAGCACTAAATCGGAAAACCCAATTGCCGATTGCTCCATTTTAGCGCTAAACTGAGGGTTTCCACAGGGGGCAGTGTTGGGTCAAAGGGAACTGTGGATGGAGCCCTAAGTCCAGAACTCTAACCACTACAACACACAAGCTCTGTGTCATTTATTATACAGTAGTGCCTCGGGTTAAGAACTCATTCTGGAGGTCCGTTCTTAACCTGAAGCACCACTTTAGCTAATGGGGCCTCCTGCTGCTGCCGCACCGCCGGAGCATGATCTCTGTTCTCATCCTGAAGCAAAGTTCTTAACCCGAGGTACTATTTCTGGGTTAGTGGAGTCTGTAACCTGAAGCGTATGTAACCCGAGGTACCACTGTACTGAAATACAGTAATAACAGCTATAGCAGCAGGAGCAGGCAGCTCCTTGGATATATGCCACATGTTTGTACATCAATTATACAAAGCATTTGGCCAAAAACTGCTTGCCATTCTCCTTTGCCCTGGAAACCAGAAACAGAGGAATAAGCTGGTTATTTAGATCTAATAGGTGCTTACCTAATACATCCAGCTCGACAGTGTGTTGTTCATGGACATTATGCTTAGTGTTGCTCAGGGTTATGGTGTAATTCCCAGCATGCTTTGGTTTCACGTCCCTTATGATGAGCCTGTATTTCACTGGATCTAATTCATAGCAGTCACTGTTCGAATTGGTCAGCTTCTTGCCATCCTTGTACCTATAATGTCCAGCAAGAAATATACCAATTGAAAGATAGAGTAGAGGGGAACAAGGGCAATCCCATTATAGGGTTACTGAGACTTATTCTTCTTATTCTTTATTAACATGACTTCTATGCAACCCCTTAATTAAAGTTTTCTGGGCAATGTACACAAAAATGGTTCAAAACAAACAAGGGATTGGGAATACCAAATGCCAAACAAAACACAACACAGCACAGATTTAAGCACTGCAATTAAGCACGGGCAAGCCTGAGTAGACCTGCAAAGAACTGCTGTTAGATTGTTATGCTTTCCTCACCCCCCTGCACCAGCATTTTCCTTCTGTCAATTCAAAGTACCTCCTTGGTTCTTACCAGGTCACTATGGGGCGGGGGACAGCTTGAACCTTCCAAGACAATTTCAGCATCTTTTGCCCTTCGATAACTTCATAGGGATTGATTTTCTTAAAGGAAACTTTGATGAAAGCTTCTCCTTAAAATAAACAAGAAAAATTGCAGGCATGAATCTCAAATTTGCTTTTTTGCAAAACAATAGTAACACAACAGATAATAAAAGCTGTGGAGCAGAAAGCAAGTAGATGGACTGGCCAGCCAGAAGTTAGTATAAAGTAAGAATAGGAAATGATGCTGCCATTTGAAACATGTGCTTCATTTTTTAATTAATTTAAACCTGCAGTTGATTTTGATCCCTAAAGGACACATGATCAAACTATTTGGAGAAAGGAATTTACAACATCTGCCTTCCTCACCTACTTTTGTGCTTTTACCAGCTCCAACATTCAATATCACTTGGTGGCAGTAGCCATAAGATATGGTGTTACGACTTCCTGGGTGCTGGATTTTCCACTGACACACACAGAGCTGTAGAAAGAGCCATGGTGGCTTCAGGGCACTATAAGGACGAGGGCCCCTCCCCTCATGGTTGTGTTTTAGTTGAGTGCCGGGATTGTGGTGCAGGGAATGGGTGCCTCTGGCAATTTCAAGTTATTATTTCTTCCCATCTAACACACAGTTCTCCACATTTCCACATCCGTTTGGAATTGTTCTTTGAAAAAGCAAGTCCTTGTGGAAATTCACCAGCATTTGCAGAATTTGCAAGCAATTTTGCCAGAACAAACATTTTTTTGCAAAGCATTTTCTGATTATAAAATGCATTTTGTATACTATTTTCACTAATTATGCATTTTTAAATGCATAGTTTACTCTAGTGCATGCATTTTTTTAAAACCAAAACAAAAAAAACCAAAACATTACTTGGCTAGAGAATTGCATTGCAAGATTCAAAAAAGTGTGGATTTCAAAGGTTGGCTGTGTTTCAGTTCCCATATTGCAGTGTTGGCCAAACTTGGGTCTCCAGCTGTTTCTGGACTACAATTCCCATCATCCCTGACCACTGGCCTGTTAGCTAGGGATGGTGGGAGTTGTAGTCCAAAAACAGCTGGAGACCCAAGTTTGGCCAACACTGCCATATTGTTTCAGAAAGTGTGAATTAATTAGGTTTGCCTATAAATGTGAACTAGAGCAAATTTCTCCCCCATCGTTAGTGTGCTGCTGTTCCAAGGTAAGTACATAAAGTGGTTGGGGAAGTAGTTTGGGTCTGATCACTTCGCAGGTGGGAGCTGGAAACTGGTGGTTGATTACTAGGGTGAAAAGACAGATCCTCAGCTGTAGAGGATAACTCTATGAATGTGAACAAGTGATTAGGTGAAGGATGTTAGGCTTTTATTGATGTTGGTGGGGTCCTAGATTAGATTTGGTTTTAGTCTTGTAGCTAGGTTGCCTATGTGGTGGGGTGGTCTATTTGTATATGCTTCCAGGGGGGTGTTGGGACCAGCAGCTGATTAGAATGAAGCACAGCGGGTTTGCAGTTGTGCGTGAGCCCAACACCTGGCAAATATGTACAGGTGTAGTTTGATTGAAGTATAGGTGTGTTTGGACCATAAAGAAGGCTGATCGCCGAAGAATTGATGCTTTTGAATTATGGTGCTGGAGGAGACTCTTGAGAGTCCCATGGACTGCAAGAAGATAAAACGCATCAATTCTTAAGGAAATCAGCCCTGAGTGCTCACTGGAAGGACAGATTCTGAAGCTGAGGCTCCAATACTTTGGCCACCTCATGAGAAGAGAAGACTTCCTGGAAAAGACCCTGATGTTGGGAAAAGACTGAGGGCACAAGGAGAAGGGGACGACAGAGGATGAGATGGTTGGACAGTGTTCTCGAAGCTACCAGCATGAGTTTGACCAAGCTGCGGGAGGCAGTGGAAGACAGGAGTGCCTGGCGTGCTCTGGTCCATGGGGTCACGAAGAGTCGGACACGACTAAACGACTAAACAACAACAACAATAGGTGTGTTTTGGGATGTGCAATTTTGTGGGGGTATTGGGTGAATGGAATCCTATTTTATGGATATTGATGCTTTAATTGCTTTATATACTGTTTGTTAATTTTGTTCTTTATACCTGCTTCGTGAAAACTTTTTTCTGATGAAAGGTGGTGTATACTTGAAATAACAACATTTAGGCAGCAAAGACATTTTCAAAATGCCCACCCTGAGCAAAGGAGGCCAGCTGTTGGAATGCATCATTCAGCTGCTCTCTTTGCAGATGCGTACTCTTTTAAACTGTTGAATCAATGAATTTCTCACAGTACATAATTAGTTCTTTTATGACACATACTGTTTGGGAACAACTGCTTTAGATCAAAGGCACACACACAGTCAAACAATGATCTCCAAAGGGCAAATATCCCTTTCTGTACTATTCTTTTTTTAAAGTGTGGCGCCTGTCAATGTAACAACATGTCACAGAAACCCCTGGAGTTTCTTGAATGCCGGCTGATGCAATCAGAAATATCGAGTGGTAAATCATTTCCTTGACTTTAGGCTGCATATATGTGTCAGTGAATGTTTGTGATGTTGGTTATGATACAGTTGGGGGTCTGTGAAGTGCTGTAAACTGATTGCTGGAGTGGACAGGTGGACTCTGCCTCCACAAAAAGAAGTTGCTACTTTCTAACCAGTGTAGATAGATAGATGATAGATATAGATTAGATTAGATTAGATAGATAGATAGATAGATAGATAGATAGATAGATATCATACGTACTGTATACAGTGATGTTGGCCTCTGATTTTAATTGTGTTGTATTGGCAATTATGCCTCTGCATACATACAACCCTCTGTTTTCCATTGTAACATTCTTGATGACCACATTAGAAGAAGCTTTATACACTGGCTCACTTAGGTCGAATGTATTTTCAGCCTTGGTTTCCTAAAGGGAGCAGAGTGGAGACAGAAAAACACCTGCTATAAGGCCAGTTCAGAACAGCTCAAACAGAGAGTAACACATATCCAGTCAAGAACAGTGAACTACAAAGGCAAATCTTAGATTTCCTAAAAGTTTCCTCCTTAGAAAGCCATGAATCCAACAATGTAAAAGGCTAAATCAGGTGAGTCCTCAGACTCTTGGTTCAGAAATGTGACTTTTACAAGCTCCACCCTCATGGAATTTTAGTGAACATGAATTATTAAAATGAAAAATGGTATTCAATTGCAAAATGGTATTCAGTCACAATGATATTTGGACCCTCAATATTAGTGCAACTCATTCCTATAACAATGACAGAGTTAACTACCAGTGATGGTGGTGCATTGCAATGTAGGATGGGCTAGAATCAAAATTCAGGCCAGAAGCCACAGTTTGGGAGGGAATTTCCTCCTGAGTGGACACAGGGCTTGCCACTTTCTGATGGGTTTGGGGCCTGTGTCTGAAACAGCATGAGAGGTGGGCGTAGCATGTGCCTTTGTGTGCAAGATGCCTTGAAGGTGGGAGGCAGGTGGTGCAAAGACAACACAACTCTCCTTTGCTGTGCTGAAGGCCTCAGAGCAAATTTGGCAAGGCTGAGCAGCACATCCAAAGCACATCTATGAGCCATGCTAGATCTTCTCTCAGATGCTCAAAAACCTCTAGTGAGGCAAAGGGTGGTGGAACCATTACTCCATTTGCTCATCAGCAGCCTTAGGGCAGTGGTATCTCCAGGTCTTTCTGTCTGTGACCCAAATCCTCTAAGATGGAAAGGGAACAAGGCCGTCTTACCCATAGGCACTAGGGTGCGGGGCACCTGGGCGACCGGGCTCTCAGGGGCACCAGGCTGAGAGTCCGGGGCCCGAGAATTGAGTCTGGGGAAGAGCCACCCAGTCGGTTAGAGCACCGCGGCGGGCTCTTCTGCGGGCAGCTCTGTGCCACGAGTTCGAGGGCGACTGAGCCAGTGAGATGCTGACGCAGCCGGCAGGCTCCGCCCTCCTGCGGGCCTGGGACTGGACAACCGGGGGGGGGGCACCGGGTGGATCTTTGCACCCCGGCGCCACATATGCTTAAGACAGCCCTGAAAGGAAATGACTGCAACAAAATTAGTATATCAGGGGATTTTAACCCAGGCTTTATTTTTCTGCATACCCTCCCCACTATCCTGACTAAAAACACAGTCTTAGCAAACAACTCATCAGAATGGACTGCAGATATATGGTTTAATCTGCTAATCTATGAACCCTTCTGAGGGCTGTTTCACTACTCATACATATGAGGCTGCTCTCCTTTTTATTGTTTTGACATTGGAAAGATGCTTGAAGCAGCTTCAAAATACAGTATCTGTAGCACACAAGGTAAACATGCTTGTTAAAATGGTACAGGAAGTGACCTTATGCCACTTCCTGTATAATTCTATGCACAAAGGGCCATTGTACATACAATGTACCTCCATCAGTATAAAATGGGGCAGCCATTTTATTGTATGTAGAATGAACCGTTGTGCATAGAATTACACAATAAGTTGTTTCCTGTACCATTTTGAAAAATGTTTTCTTTGCTGTGCAGCTGATGTGCTGGGCTTTGAAGCTACTCCAATAAGATTTACAGTGTTAAAACAAGGAAACAGAAATTCACCTCATAAGTCCTCCACATCTGTGCATGGGGGGAGGGGTTATGGCTTTTTCTCTTACTTTTTAAGGATTTGTACAGAGTTCTCCCCCAAAAAATGCACATGGGAACAGACAGGACATACTTTAAGACAGCCATGTGTGGAACCAGAAGAGAACAAACTGAGGCAGATTTATCCATCCCTAGACATGATGCTGGATTCTTCCATAGAGCTTTGCTCAGTGGTAGAGCAGCTCCAGGTAGTCCCGACAGAGACACCTGTCTGAAACCAGACTGGAGGCTGCCAGTCAGTGCAGACAATACTGAGCAAGATGGCTTCATAGTTTCACATGATATAAGACAGCTTCCTATATTCCTATGTACATTAGCTCTCTCTGCAAACATGTAGAATATGTTATGCCTTTAAATTTACTCAGGATGTTCAGTGGAGCAGCCATAATCATTTCTCTCCCCATCAAAATGTACTACCGCCAACCCAAATATTTCTGTGCATTCCTAGCAATTCTGAACTGATGCTAGAAAGCAGGCAGATGCTGCTGGGCCCCCCCAGTCAGTGCCAGCCCGCAGTCCAACAACATATCTGACATCATAATTTCTTTGATTGGATACTGAGCATTTGAATGCTCGCTCAAAAACTATTTGAGGAAGTGAGGACAGAGATTGCTAGCACACAACAAAACTTCTGACTGGAATCTTTTGCATTCAGCAGAACCAATAACTGTCCTTGATCCAGGGACAGATGTGATTTACTCACAGTCCTTCCAGGAATTGTCCATACAAATTCAATGCGTCCATTGAAAAATGTCTCCGCACTGCATTCCAGGTTAAGGTTGTCTCCAACCACCAGCTTTTGGGGATTTGTTTTGAGAACCAGGTTCTGTATCCTTTTCTCTGGAAGACATAGCAAGCCAATAGCCAATATCAAAATCCAAACAGTGGCAGATGTCAAATGCAGATTATCAAGTATCTGGCAAATATTATAATACAATTATCGATAAGAAAAATAGCCACAATTTAAGACTTCTGAAAGGTTAAAATAGCAAAATTCTAAAAACAGATTAAAACTTGCTTCAGCTTTCTAAACCTCTGGGTAGGCTTGTCTAAATGAAAATGTTTTTAGCAGGTGCCCAAAAAAGTACAGTGAAGACACCTAACTGATAATCAATAGCAGAGGCAGATTTAGGGTAGCATAGTTGGTTCAGTCGCATGGGGGTACCACAGGTGACGCCACAAATATGATTCAGAATGGAGTGTGAGAGGTAGGGGGCACCACATGTTGACATCACACAGGATCCCACTGAAATCTGTCCAAGATCTGCCACTGTCAATAGGCAGGGAGTTCCAAAGTGTAGGTGCTGCCACACTAAAAGATCATCAGCAAAATATCCAAGTATTTAAGCAGCCTTCCCAAACTGGGTGTCCTCCAGATGTTTTTGGACTACAATTCCTATCAGTCCCAGTTGGAGTGCACCAGATAGGGAGAGGCTGACTTAAAGGATATCTGGAGAACTTCTGACACCAGGCTCTGCAAGGTAAAACTCTGGGCAGCATTTGTGGAAGCATCTTAATTTGATCTGTAATTGAAATTAGAGTTCACAAATACTATGCTCCAGTGATGTCAGCAATGGGAGTGCTGGTTTTCAGTGTCCGCCCTAAGGCAGTGCTGCTTACAATGAATACTGTACAGGATGGGATCTGCTTCCTCCTCACATCCCTACAAGCTACTCACCTACTTTCTGTGTCACATAGTAGGATGTGTATTCGTCTCCCCTGACCATAGCAACACACTTGAGCATGCTACTGAAGAACTCATAGGTAGGCAAAGTGACCACAAATCCTCTCTTGGGATCCCATTCCATCTTCACAGACCTCACGGCACTGCTGGAAGGATGCTGAGGAAGATGAGAGGCAGATGTGATGCTACACCTGACATTCAAAACCACCCCAACAGTTATTTATTTATTTATTTATTTATTCATTCATTCATTCATTCATTTATACGTTTTATTTATGAAACACTTTTCATGAAACATCCCAAAGCGATCACCTATATATCATCAAGTACGAAAACATAGAAACACAATTTCAAATCCAATGCACATACACACTGTGGATAAGAATCTTTACCTAGGAGGCTTGTTGAAAAAGGAAAAGATGATGAAAAGATCACAGGAACGGGAGGGAGTTCCAAGGGGCAGGTAAAGGTAAAGGTAAAGGTACCCCTGCCCGTACGGGCCAGTCTTGACAGACTCTAGGGTTGTGCGCCCATCTCACTTAAGAGGCCTGGGGCCAGCGCTGTCCAGAGACACTTCCGGGTCACATGGCCAGCGTGATGAAGCTGCTCTGGCGAGCCGGTACCAGCGCAGCACACGGTAACGCCGTTTACCTTCCCGCTAGTAAGCGGTCCCTATTTATCTACTTGCACTTGAGGGTGCTTTCGAACTGCTAGGTGGGCAGGAGCTGGGACCGAAAGACGGGAGCTCACCCCGCCGCGGGGATTCGAACCGCCGACCATACGATCAGCAAGTCCTAGGCGCTGAGGTTTTACCCACAGCGCCACCTGCTGCCATGCTAAAAAAGATCTGATTCCCACATCGTACAGAACAGACCTCCTGATGGGATGGTATCTGCAAGAGGTGCTCCTACAAAGGGCAGAGATTATTCTGGGAGCTGTAGTTTGTTAAGTGTGTTGAAAGTTGTTAGGAGGCCCCTTATTCCCCTCACAAAGCTAAAATTCTCAAGAGTTCCCTGTGAGGAGGGACTGATTATCCTTGTGATCAGGGATGGGAAGCTGTTTTTCTCTCCCTTTGTAGAGTTGGCCAGTATCTGCACATGTGCACACACCCTTCTCTGTCCTCTACCCAGGCAAGACCTCAAGGGTACAAATTCATTCAAGAGCATGCATGCAAAGCAGCAAGGCAAGAGGGTGTGGCCTGAGGAGAGTTCTAAGGGCCAAATGGAGAGAACTGGAGGGCCAACTTCATTCAACAATCCTCATCCTTGTTCTGTATTATTAGCAGGGTTCCCCCCCCCCATGGTGGTGAATAGCCAGAACGGCACCATGCGACAGAGCACAGCACCACATGCTTTGGTTGGTCCCTATTTAGTGAATGAATCAGCCTTCACAAAGAGTCATGCCCCTGCCCTCGTTTCTCCAGTGTGTTAAGTTTTATATTGGGGATGATGGGGATGTTGAAAAGGTTGGATTTTAAGCTCAAACCAAAGAACAAATCATGTGAAGTTAGCCTCTTTCCTTGAGCATTAGCAGTCTGCACACTTCCCCATAAATATTTAAAGGATATGGAGTGCAGTCATTTTAAAGTATAATGGAAACATAAGAAAGGTAATTTATGAGGGGGAAAGTACATTCCTACAGGAATAATACAATGGAATAGAGTTGAATATTACGGCTTTGTGCTTGAGTATCCCCCAGTGGTCAAGAAAAAGAATAGGAAGGAATATCTGCCTTTTTAAGATGGCCCCACATATGAAACTTATTCATTATAATAAAATATTTTAGCAACAACAACAACAACAAAAGGGTAGCATCTACCCAACCACTTAAAAAGACCTTGTGGTATTCCCCCCCCTCTCCTTCAGCTTTATCAGTGGCCAGTTATTAATTTTGGGTGAGGATATTCTAAATTCGTCCGATCAACGGACTCCTTCCTTCCGCGTCCCCTCAAACTTCCTCTGAGTACAGGAAGCAGCCAGCATGGCTCTACACGCTTCCAGGCCAGGCCAAAACAGCCACTATGGTATTTCCTTAAATGGGAACAGAACGAAGGCGCCCAAGGTAAACACTCGCTCACTCACACACCTCCATGAATAGGTCCATCATCTTTACTGAGGATGTCCGGAGGCACCTTCCTTTCCAGCCCTGCCCATTTGTCCCCTTTCAAAGAGGAAGAGTGGAATATTTGGCCTAGATTTTGTAGCAGCTCGAAGTGGAAACATTTAGTTTATCCACTCAAAAGGGTAGTAGGAAGAAGGTCCCTTCAGTTCCAATAACAAGAAATGACCAGCTAGAAATCTGAGACAAAGCCAGGTAAAAGGAAGGTTAAGACTCTAAAAATAAGGTATGTAATGCTCAGTTGCTCAAAGATAGTCACAAGGAACCTTCTTATGCCACTGGTCAATATTAATCTTTATACAGTTCTGGGGGTGGGGGAGAATGATTCCGGCCATGAATCAGATGCACCCCACATCTCATTCCACCCTCTGGGTCCCTTCAAGCCAACAGTTTTTCATTGGGATACAACTGTGAGGGTGATATCGTGCAACTGTGCATCTGCTGCTCCTTCCTCTTACAAGAAGACCAAATCAGATGGGATACTGTCTGAAGAAACTGGTACTCTTTGCAAATATGCAAAACATAGTCCATGAGTTTTGCAAATTGCATACAGTATATGAAATTTTGGGGATGCAGCTGCCTTTTGAAGTTTGATAATTTAAATAGATGTAAGGCGGTGCTTGCAGTTCAGCTGTGTATTGACATTATTTGCATTCTTTTGTAGGGACTACTGGGGTCTTCTTGCCTTTTGCATTCCTATGAAGAAACCCAGAAATGAAGCCCTAATTGGAAACTGTCTGCTGATGATGAAGTGTAGAGTTGCTCCTCCTCTCACTTTTTTCATGTTATCTCACCCTGCCTTCAGCTTAACTGGAGCCATCCTGTACTTCAGAAAGAATATTGTAAAGCTGGAAAGGTGCAGAAACAGGCAACCAACATGACCAAGTTCATAACAACTCCTCTATGAAGAAATGATTAGAACATCTGGGGCTTTCTAGTTTTGGCCTCATCTGCAGGGGCGTCTTTTCCATTTGGCTTAGTGGCACCCTGTGCCACAGCGCCTGTCCATCAGGGGTGCTGGGCTCAGGCGCCCAGCAGCAGATGTTTCATTTCTTTCTGACCATGCTGCTTACAGTTTCTCTCTATCTCAGCAGGAATATCTGTCCCCTAATGCTCATAACTACCTCCCAGAACATTTATATTAACCCCCACTTCTAACCCATGAAACTTTTATCAACTTAAACCCTTAGTTTTCATCTCTTCCTAGTTTTGTAACTTGACTTGAGTATAGTCTTACATGGTTACCATCTTCTTTGGACTCAGCTACAATCAGTCAAAAAGCAGAGCTTTGTATGTGTTACAAACGTGCAGGCATAAATGGTATATTTGCCTGTTGATGTGATGTTGAAACTAAAAATTAACTGAAACTCATTCTTTATTGCCTTCAACTGGATTCTTAATTGTGGATTATGAATACACCTTGGCTGGAGTGGTTTAAAGAAGATTGAGTTTGTTTTCAAAGTACGTATTCTTATAGATAAATTAGAATTTTAAAGTTTGGAATGGGCTAGAGAAGCTGAAATATTGATAAGGACTGGATATGCCTGCGTCTTTTTGAAAGGAGAAATTATTTCTACAAAGATCGCTGGGGAAGGTGGTGCCATAATCTGGGAGCCCCCACACCACCTTCTTAAATCTGGAAGCCGCGTGTGCTTATAAAAATGCTTGGAGAGATAAACTGAAACTTTAAAGTTTGGAACTGTGGGGATTGAACCCGGGACCATCTGCATGCAAAGCAGCTGCTCTGCCACTGTCAACTTGTCAATCACTGCTGCGCACAGAATGGGCAAACAGTTCTCTTGTCTGGCTACTCCTCCATGCCAGAATACGCCTGGTCAGTTCAGGGTTTTGTACTCTGTGGCCATCATCACCTTCCCTGCTAAGACCTTTTTAGGGGGAAATAGCAACCCAAATACCATACATACACCAGAAGAGCCTGCTGCTGGATCAGGCCAGTGGCCCATCTAGTCCAGCATCCTGTTCTCACAGTGACCAACCAGATGCCCCTTTTGGGAAACCTGCAAGCAGGATCCGAGAACAAGAGCACTCTCCCCCTTGTAGTTTTTAGCAAGTGGAGTTCAGAAGCATCCCTGCCTCCAACTGAGGAGACAGAGCAGAACCATCCTAGCTGGTAGCCATTGGTAACCATCCCCTCCATGAATGTGGCTCGTCATCTTATGAAGCCATGAGGATTGGTGCCCACACACTTTGTTTGGCCTGAGACATTTTTCTGCCTGTGGCAACAGAGAATCCTTGAATTGTAGGACTGAAGGGACCCCAAGGGTCATCTGGCCCACACACACCCCCGAAATGGAAGAAGGCAGCACACACATTCACTGGTTCCATGGACGGAGTCCAGCTGGAGGGGTGGCTGGGTTTTATTCTAGCTCCACCAACTCTGGGAGCTGATATGATTTCAAAATTTGCAGAGGACAAAGTTACGAAAAAAGGGTTTTAAGTGCTTATGCTCACAATGTCAAGTAAATAAACCAGAAAATAACACCTGCAACTGTAAGTATATTATTTTTCCTTCTTTAATAATTTCAATGGGGGGGTTGACAAAAAAATTTCCCACCGGGTACCTCCTGACCTTGCTATGCCACTGGGTCAACAACTCTGGGAAATTGGAGGGGGGGCGCCAGAGGGATCTTCGCACCACAGCACCGGATATGCTTAAGATGGCCCTGCTCATCTATCTGCACTTTCGTTTGACATGTATTTTGATCATATCCTGTCCCAATTAACTCTCCCAGGTCTGAGGGCTTTTTCCATTGTTCTGTGGCTGTGCCTTGGGAAAATCCAATCCGACCTGCTAAATCAGATCTTATCAGATTCACAGAAAATCTGAGGAGGGATTTTGCTTAACCGAGTTACCTTAGATTTTCACAGGGCACAGCTGCGGAACAATGAGAAAAGTTCTCTGACCCAGGAGAATTCATCAGCACACAATGCAATCAAAATACGGGTCAAGCAAAAATGTGGATGAGCCCTGAGTAAAAAAAAGGGCGAGTTAAGGGAGATAGGATACAAGTGAGTACAGTTATGTATGGTATAGAGAAAGAGGCTACAGAGACTCTTTTCTCCCTCTCTCAAAAAACTAGAAGCCAGAGAAGTGTAATAAAGCTGGATGGTGGGAGATGCAGACAAAATAAAGTACTTAATCACACAGCACATAATTAAACTATGGGATCTGCTTCCAGAGGCACTATCAATTTAGGATGCTTTCACACTAACCTGTTTGAACCCTAAAGTTTGTGTTTTTCTCAATCTGGAATCATTCATGCTCATCCTCAGCACGCTGCTTTCAATCTAGGTCGATAGTGTTGTTTTCAAAAAGCTAAAGGGCTGGATCAGGAATAGCTAAAAATAGCTGAAGTGAGGACTGAAGCAAAACGCTATGATGGGTGACAAGTCCGTCAAATCCTATTCCAAGCCGCTACCAAGAATTGGATTACACCCATAATCTGGTTATGCCACTTGCGGAATTGATTATTTCCTCTTAGATGAGACTTAGAAGAAGTGTGCTCACCAGCAGGAGCGTTGGTGTGATATCCGGCGAGGTGACCCGGCAAGGCACGATCACTTCTGTAGCATTGTGTACGAAGATAACATCAGGAACACTTGGGCGGAAGTCTACAAAAGGCTGTGTGTTATCTGCGGAACACAGAGAAGATAATGTTAGTTATGTGCCAGCCAGCAAGCTCGTTTGGTCATTAGTCAGATGCTCATGCAGGCAACTTTGATGGTATTTCTCTCCTTTGTAACCTGTTACTTTCTCCAAAAACAAAACAGCCCCTCGTTTTTCTCAACAGCAACCTTGTGAGATAGGTTAGACCAATGATCAGCAGCCATTTTAGGACCATGGGTACATTTTTATTTGTGAGTGAGTGATGTGGGTGCCACACCTTCTGGTCACTTTTCTTCCTGTCCCCTGAATCAGCTCCCACTCACCTCCTATGCAAGAAACAGGAAGGAAAAAAGTGAGTGTACACACGCATACACACACTTCAGTTTTTCAGGGGATCTGGATAAAGATCACAGTCACCAGTTGAATTAATCTGAGCCCTGAAAAGCATATCAGGTTGAATGAGGAAGTGGGAAAGAGCACCACTCTTTCCAACTTTCTCTTTCCACTCTATGTACTTTTCCTGGGAGAAATGGTAACCACCCTTACCTGTACCATGATGAAGTGGGCAGTGAGTGGAGGCCTCAGAGGCTTTGTTGTAACCTGGGGAGGCCTCAAGGGTGCTTTTCTGCCCATGGGTGCCACACTGGCAACCCCTGGACTAGAATGAGAGAATGCTCGATTGAGCCTGGATCTGCCCAGTCTTGGCCTGTCACTCTACACTTTGCTGGCTTTACATGTGAGCAAGACGTCCACAGTGTCAGGACTGAAGTCTGTAGGAAGGCATGAACTGTCAACCTGTGCAGTTGCAGGCAGGGGCTTAATCTGGTGCACCACCAACCAGCTTCAGTCCAGAAGGAACTGTAGAGGAAAAAGCCCCACCGGTCAAGGAAGCTTCTTTGCACCGATAGTTCAGAATGGGTCCTTAACCCACGTAAGAGTTTATGGATCCTGCTCACTGGTCTGGACAATGCTAATGCCTGCTTTTACAGGCTGTAGACTCACTCTTACCTCACATCACTCTCTGCTTTTGCTCAAAATAACAGAGACACAACTGCGATGAGTTTTCATTTGTTTGTTTGTTTGTTTGTTTGTTTGTTTGTTTGTTTGTTTGTTTGCAATGAGTTTTTGAGACAAATCTGTGGAGGCTGGAATCTCTCATCTTTGTAATGACCATGACACCACAGTTTATGCAGTTACAGACGTGAAGTGTCAAATGCTGTGTATTCCAACATTCCTCAGATGAAAACAGGAAAAATGTCTCACTCCCCCACCCCAACTGACCCTCCTTGCACCCCCCCTCATTCCCCCCCGAAGCAGACCATTTCCTAGCAGAGGAAGGGCAAGTGCCCCCACAACTACAGCAACGGGACACAGCACCCACCCCTCTGCCATCCTGAGAAAACCCTTAGTCTGGATTTTATTTTGTTCTTTGAAAGATTTACAAAAAGAAAAACACACACCAATAAATAAATTTTACAAAGGGTGAAATCAAGACTCTTTGCGCTCCACTCTGCCCCCCTTTCTGGGGCGGCCCTGCCCTCCACTTGCCCCTCAGAGCCAGCCTCAGAGCTGGGCCTCAGCGGTGATAGCCTCTCCTCCTCGCCTTCTCTACATCAAACCCTGCAAGCTACCCAAGGAAGAAGGCTGGCAGCAGCGGCCATGGAGAGGCAATGGGATGCTACTGCCACTTGAGACAAGCACCAGCTCCTCCTCCTCCTCCTTGAGCTCATTGGTGGCAGCACTGGAGGGGGGAAAGGACATTGCAGGATCAAACCAGAAGCTGGGATGGCTTTCGTAATTCTGGGGCATCCTCTGGAGAATCAAGACTCTTGGAGGGTATGCAATTTCAGCCAATGCAAAGCTGACAGAATGCAACACCAGAAACCTGTGCTGTTCGGCGGTAATAATAGTTGGTGTGATCCATCCAAGACACTTATATCCAAATACTGCATCTCTAAGAGGCTGTCCGTTGTTTAGATACTGCTGAAAAATACATTCCTTACATTCCAACATTTTCTATTTATTTCTCACATTTCTAATTTGCCTTCTTCCATCAGAGAAGTCACAGTGGTGTACCTGGGATCCCCAGGCACCCTGCACAAAGAGAGGGGATCAATAAGACAGAGGAGAAACATTACCAAAAGATATATTGAAGAAGAAGACAGCTACTCAGAGATAATAGAGCTGACTTTCTTCTTTTTTGTCTTGGGTTCCCAGGTTTATAAGCACTGAAGGAAGCAGATCACATGCCCAGCAGGTTCACAGATAATGCTGTTTACAAGAAAGTTCCATGGTCCCTGCTTCCACTACACACATGGTGAACTCAATAAGCTTAGCGATAAGTCTTGACTTCCTTTGGCTCACTGGTTTACAGGCTTCAAGAGCTGCCCCTCCCTTCCATCCGTGAGGGAAAGAGACAGTCATCAACATGGTTCATCTGCTTTTTACTGTGTTATACACTGTGCACCATTCAAGCATGATGCTTCCCTAATGCTTTCAGGAGACCTTTGGCAGAAGAGTTCTGCAACACAAGCCCTGCCTATTACAAAGATGGATTGCATTAGATTTTAAAAATATGTTATTGAGGAGCCATCGCCAGCCTGATGCCCTTGGAGAACTACTTCCATCAGGCAAAGCTGCTGTGGCTTATGGGAGGTGTAGTCCAAAACCTCTAGAAGGCACTAAATTGATGAAGGATGCTGTGTAGCATATCTGTTGGGCCTAGGCATTCGTGATAACAGAATAACCTCAGGATTTGCAGGACAGGCTTGCAGGACAGGCCTTGTTCTTCTAATGTCTCAGATCTGAGACATTGGTTTTACAACCCAAGTAAGAGACTCTCCTGGCAGCTCCATGCAAGTGGGATACTGTTGTTTGACTTTGCAATACAGTATATCATTACAATTTCGCTATTTAAGCCTTGTAGCAAAGGATGCAAGTCTTACAGGCTGATCCAGTACCATGAAATACCAGTTCTTACCACACGAGGGTGCAGTTAGGGTGACTTCTAATCACATCCAAACGTTTCTCTTGGTACCAGTACTTTGTACAGAATTTTAAATTTTACCATACTTCTAAATTTATGCTTGGGTGGAGGAAACTGAGCATGTGAAGCAGAAAAGCAGCTAGTAAGAAGAGAAACATCCTCCCTCATGCATTTTGCATCCCTTCTCTTTTCGTTTTATTCAGGGCTATATGTACCCTGTCCTTAAAACATCCAAAACACCTTCACAAAGTTCTGCACCACAAACAGATGCATTCTGCAATCTGCTTAAATTATTGCAAATTTTTCACAATTCCTCTTGGATTCTTTACTGCTTCGCCTAATTTAGTCTGAACTCACTAAGTCATTGGGAAGGGGAAGGAGATACATGTGGCCCCAATCCTAACTGCCACACATTTTATATAGCTGAAATTTTGGCTGCCAAGATTTCAGCAAACACTGCCCATGCCTTTCCAAACTCTCTCCCTCACAGTCATAAAAACAATTCCATAAGTTTCTCAGTGTACCTTATGGCACACCCTGTGTTTTTTTCACTCACAAACTTGCCCATGTCATGCTTTTGCTGGGGAAGAAAAATCCAAAGCGGGGCAGAGGATCCAAGACAGAGGAACAATGAAATTGAAAGCCTGCTAGGATCACACTGGAAGGGGCAGAGGAAGAGAGGGGGCAAGGAAGCTATTTTCTTGGCTCCCCTCATATTTCATTAGCTGTGCTTCCCCTGCCCACAGGGTTTGCTAATCACAGTCAATATAGCTCTTCACATTTTGACAGGTTGGATGGCATTATAGCTACTATTATAGCTACTATTCAAATTAGTTTTGGAAAATACCCAGAAGCAGCTCCTTGTCAGCCTAAAGTCCATCCATTGGCCAGTAAATTAAAATTTCCCCAAGAGCAAAGTGCCTAAGGAAGATGAGAGTATCTACATCAACTCATGTTTGCAATTTCACACTCTCAGAATGTTTTCTGCATCAGAAGCCTGTAGAACAAATCCAGATGCGCTCCAGAAGAGTGTTTTCAGGTTTGATTTTAGATTTGATAAAAATTGAAAGAAGGGTTCTATTGTCCATCCGATAATTTTGTTGTTATTTGCAACAATGTGCAATTGTAAAAATGATGAAAAGGTTCTTTCAAGATTTGGTTTGTCGTGAGAAAACAAGTCCAGCAAAGGAAACCTTCCATGCCCTCAAAAAACTATGTCAAAACATTGGATGAAAAAGTTACACAATGGTACCTCGGGTTAAGTACTTAATTCGTTCTGGAGGTCCGTTCTTAACCTGAAACTGTTCTTAACCTGAAGACCACTTTAGCTAATGGGGCCTCCTCCTGCTGCTGCGCCGCTGGAGCACGATTTCTGTTCTCATCCTGAAGCAAAGTTCTTAACCTGAAGCACTATTTCTGGGTTAGTGGAGTCTGTAACCTGAAGCGTATGTAACCTGAAGCGTATGTAACCCGAGGTACCACTGTATTTGGACAGTGTCAACATGATGCTCTTGCAAGATGGTTATTTTATATTTTATTTTAGCTTGGGGGTTTATTATTTAAAAAATGGGGCAAAACCAGCTGAAAGGGGAAGTTGGGGTTGGCACTGGGGCCCCCACCCTGACCTCACACCTACACTCCTTAATCACAGATGTATTTCTGCCCTCAGTTCCATTATCATTACAGTAAATATATAATCCTTACATTCTGAAGTGATGGGGATGGAAGAATCTGGCGATTTCAGTTTCTTCCCATTTCATTTTTTTCCAATCTTAAATTCAGTTCACCCCTTCTCTGCATAGGTTATTTTTGGCCATTACGTCATTCCCCAATGGGATGTAATGGCAAGTTGTGATGTGGAATTATTTATGATAATTATGGTTATGTAATAGATGGATAATGGTAAAAGATGCAACAAATTTAAACTTAAATATGGAACCATGGAGGGAAGGAAGGAGGTCCGAAGGTTCTAAAGAATCTTGTATTTTAATGTTTGAAATGATTATGTTTTATATGTACAAAACTATCAAAAACCCAATA